ACCTCCATTGTGAGGTCTGTGCAGCACGTCAACGGCCACTACCGCACCTGCCTCGCAGGATCAGACTGGGCGGGGATTTCAACGACTTCATTGGAGTGGACCTCATTACCCTGGCCGACTACGTGGGCAACCAGCTGATCTACCTGAACGTGGTCGACCTGGCCTCGGCTTTCACGATGTGCGGCACGGTTGGGTCAAGGCGCCCACCAGCTGTGTTCGCTCGACTGCGGCAGATTTGGACCACGCCTGTCGGCGCGCCTCAACGCGTCATATTTGATGGAGGAGGCGAGTGCGAGCGAGAGTTCTCCAAGGAGCTGGAGGACATGGGTTGCCGCATGATGACCACCTCTGCGGCTACGCCGCAGCAGAATGCCACCGTGGAGCGACATGGAGGTATGTGGAAGGTGCACGCGAGGAAGCTGATCGACCAGTTCAGCATCAGGTTCGACCAGCCCGAGATCGCCCACAAGGCCCAGTGGCTGATCGCCTCCGTGTGCTGGGCCATGAACAGCCAGGTCAATTCCACGAGCTACTCGCCGTCGCAGTGGGTGCTCGGGCGAGGCCCGGTCTCGTGCAGATGGAGCTCGGCACGCCAGCGACGTCTACCAGACTGGCGACCAGGTGTACTACTGGAGGGGCAACGGTAAGCCCAAGCGAGAATGGGCTTTGCAGTGGCACGGGCCCGGCGTCATCATCGGGTTCGAAGGCGCCCCGAACGTCTGGGTCAGCCACCGCTCCGCGACCGCGAAGGTCAACCGTGGACACCCTCGCCACGCCGCGGCATCGCAGCTCGCGCCGCGGGGACAAATGCTGAACGCGCTGCGCGGCAGCCAGCCGCCCGGGCCACCGCCGGGCGCCCCGCCAGGGACCTCAGGGCCCGCACCTCCCCCCGATCTTGGAGGAGGCGGCGGTGGCGCAGGCGGTGGGCCCCCGCCGCCTGGCCACGCTGAAGGACGTGATGGCCCTGCACCGCCACGAGATCACGAGGGCACCTTCCTCGACCTCTCGGGCCCTACACGTCAGGAGCGACCCCGCAGCGAAGGGCGGCCTCCACCACCAGCGCTACCAGCGCCAGTTCAGCAGCCAGCCATCCAGGCGCACAACTTCGGAAACGTCGAGAATACCGCAGCGAACCAGCGCGCCCATGAGCACGCCGAATGGCTGGCACGCAAACAAGGAGACGGTGATTTCAGAAGCAGTGGGGGAGCTAGCGGCACTTCAGGAGCAGCCCCACCGCCTTCGGGAGGAGACGTGGTGCAGCCGCTGCCGGCGGCGCCGCCCCCTGCAGCGCCCGCCATGGACTCAGGCGCTGCTGCCACCCCTGCCGCTGCTGATCACCCTGCTGCCCCTGCCGCCGCAGATTTTCATCCACATCCTGAACCCGCACCTCAGGGCCCGGTCGACGACCCTGAGAACGACGGGGAGTTTGACAGGTCCGGATCGGACATGATTCGGGAATTGCAAAGGGCCGCGGAGGAGCAGTCTCGACAGGAGACAGTGGCAAGGCGCCCACTGCACATCGAGAACCAGCGCGGCACGGAGGCACAGCGACAAGTTCAACAATAATCCGAACCGCATTCTCTTCGACGCGACCGCGAGCCCGACCCGCGCGAGCGCGCAGCCAAGCGCAAGGATATGTTGGACGATTTGCCCAAGTGCTTCAAGAGGCCGAAGGGCGCGAACAAGGTCGACCTCTACTTGGACAACTACTTCCAGAAGCACGCGACGAGCTCTACGCAAGCACGCGACTCCGCGAGGCACTGTCACGGGCAGCGCGACCGCCATGGAGAACATGGACTGGACGCCTCCATGAAGACCGAGCGGTCCAAGTGGACGGCGTTCGGCGCCTACAAGTAGCCCGCCCAGGGAGCTGAAGGAGCTCCTGCGGCGCAACCCTGGCGTCCGCCCTGTGGGCGCGCGCTGGGTGCTGACCAGCAATGGCCAGATCTCTATGAAGGCCCGTCTGGTCGCGCAGGGCTGCCGGGAGGACAATCGCAGATCAGGGCGGGCGCGCCTGCGGGATCCAGGGACGCGCTGTACCTTGCCCTGGCCGCCGCGGCCCAGAAGGACTGGGACATCTCGTCCTGCGGCGCAATGGCGGCCTACCTGCAGTCGGGGAACATCGAGAGGCTGTTGCTCCTGCGCATGCCGGCCAAGAATCCGCCGCCGGGGACGCAGCCTGGCGAGATCGCGATGGCCACAGGCGCGATCTACGAGACGCGCGACGCCAGGAGGCAGTGGTACCTCTACGCCCAGAGGGTCTTCGCCGAACGCGGCCTCGTCGAGAGCAAGCTCGAGAAAGGCCTCTATTATTTCTACGACGAAGGTGGGCTCGCCGCGGTTATCCATTCCTACGTGGACGACTTCCTGATCGCCCAGCGTAACAACTCCACCGAGTGGAAGTCCACTATTGCATCGCTGGGAAAGAAGCCACACCTTGAGCAGGTCGACGGGGTCATCCAGCACTGTGGACGTACAATCACCAAGCTGGATGGCGAGTTTCGGGTCACCCAGGCCACCGCCGCCTCGCAGGTGGATTACATCGACCTGAAGGCCCCGAAGGGCCGCCATGCCGAGGATCGGCTCACCGCCACCGAGGTGGCGAGCTGCTGCCACACGCTCGGGCAGCTGCTATGGTTAGCAATCCAGACCCCGGTGGACATCGCCTGCCCGGTGAGCTTTGCAGCCCGCCGCACCAACGTCGCCACCGTGGCCGACGCAAGGACCCTGAACAAGACAGTCGCCTACGTGCACTCGACCGCGAACTTCGCGATCGTGCTGAAGCGCGGGCTCGTCGATCTGATGGCGGCCACCACCGTGTGCTTCAGCGACGCTGCGTTCGCCAACGTGGACGGGGTCAAGAGCCTGTGGGGCATGGTGATGGGGCTCACTCACCGCCCGCGCGATGTCGTCGGCGGCCGCTACGACCTTTGCCTACCCGTGGCCTGGCACTCGGGCACAGTCAAGAGGTCGGTGAAGTCGACCCTCGCTGCCGAGGGCTACGCGACCCTCGAGGGATCGGAGACCAACATCTGGTTCCGCCAGCTGCTGACCGAGGCCTACAACCCCAAGGTGGCGCTCAAGCAAGTCGACGTCATCGCCGACAAGCGCCCTGGGGAGATCTACAGCGACAGCAAGGGTCTCGTGAAGCACATCGCTTCCGACGTGGGCCAGACTACCGACAAGCGATTCCGCATCGTCGCCTCCATGATCAAGGAGGCTGTGCACCCCAATAGTGCACTCATGCGCAGCTGGATCCCGACCTGGTCCATGGTCGCGGACGCCTTGACCAAGGCGATGGAAGCCGGCGCCCTGCTGGCCTTCTTCGGGGTACGCAAGCACAGCTACGGGACCCGGCAGCCTCATGCCGCCATGCTCGCCTTAGTCTTGTTTACCTGCCTCGGCAAGGTCAAGGGGCAGCCTACGCCTGCGCCGACGGTGCCGGACTACAGTTTCTACATCTGCCTGCTGACGTTCACGCTGCTCCTCGGCATGACTATCGCTGTCGGCATTTTCGCGACGCTCTGGACGATCGCGAGGCAGAAAATCCCAGCTACAATCCCCGAGGATCGTGATTGCGACGGCGACATCACGATGCACCCTTCGGATGGACACAGCAGCGCGCAGGCGTCGAGTTCATCGGCATCAGCTTCAGGCATCTCTTGCAGACAACACCCATCGCAGCCGCCGATATCAGCACCACCGCCGCCACTGCTGCCGCCAGAACCACCGCCTGCCAGCGCACCACATACCGCAACATCAGCACGATCGAGGTCAGCGAGATCTCAGAGTTCGGGTTCAGCCCCTACCTCACCAAGCATAGTCACCGCATCGAGGTCATCGAATCCAGTATCTGCGAGTTTGGTTTCGTGGAACTGTTCCTCGCCTACGGTGCCGTTGAACGAGACGATCGACTGTGTGACCGCCGCCCCCCGCCATGATTTCAGCATCGGGCATAACCCGCATAGCGTCTACATTAACTGCAACACATGTAAGAAGTACTCGCCATGGCTTCTCCGGTTCTACAGGCACAGCAGTCCCGATTGCACGAACTTCCCCGAAGGCGCGATGAATGATCTCATGGGGCATTGGAGGAGGCTCGCCGGCAGACGCTGCTGGCGCGGACCTGACCTGATGGACAAACCGACGAAGCCCAAGAAGGAAATATGAATCCCGCTTGGTGTCCGGACGGCAGGTTGGCCTGCCGAACCAGCCAACATTCTGTTGTTGTTGATACAGACGGTCGCCTATTGCGACCCCACCTACGTAAGTCCGCATTGCTGCTCAGTTTTCTCACCTGGCTATTTATACGTAAGGTCGCATTGCTGCTCAGTTTTCTCACCTGGCTATTTGTACGAAAGTCCGCATTGCTGGTTTGTTTTCACACCCGGCTAGAAATTTATGTAAGTCAGCATTGCTGCTCTGTTTTCACATCCAGCTAAAGATTCACAAGTGAGTCCGCATTTAGAACAGCTTCGCTCAGTGTGCACAAGTTTTGTTTCAAAGATGTGATGACGATCGCACCCGTTCAGATATGTTTCTGGCTTTGTCGCTTCGCGATCGAAGCCTTGCTATTGCTAGCCTTGTTTCGTTTTGATTATAGCGCCGGCGGCGCTGAGAGCTGAGAGTGCCCTGCAGGTCGCGTGTAACGCATCCGCTTAAGTGCCCAAGGGGCTGCCTGCTATGCAAGCCGTGTCGAGCCGTTTGCCCGCCTTCTGCCAGCGCGCCTGGCACTCCGCTCGATGAAGAGCCAGGCTTATATGCCTGGCTGTTCTGGCGCCTCACCTTCGTGCGCCCGCGCACCGTGCAGGAGGAGTGTGATTCCAGAAGGCCCGCTGCTCTCCTCACCCGCTCTCTGCCGCCGCTCATTCTTGCTCTAAATATTTTCCAGGGCCCTTGGCTAATTGAGCTACGATTCCGCTCTGCGAGCGCGTTAGAAACGATAGATCCGCGATCTTCTATATCATATACTCTTCCTCTTCCTCCTAGTGCCTCCGCAGGGGCCAGCTGCAGTTCGTCACAATCTCCTTCTTGGCCGTCCTCCAGCTCGCCGCAGTGGCGCCGTGGCCCGCCGGCGTCTCCCTTCACCGCTGCGAGAGAGGCCCCCCTCATGCCTTGCAGCGCTGATGCGTGCGAGGTCAGTCAAGACGCTTGAAGATGTAGCAGTTCGGGTTCGGAAGGAGCTCGCTGTTTCCCGGGTCCTTACATGTTTGTTTCTCCAGCGTTCCTCTTTGTTACGCGTGGTGATTTGGGGGCTAAAAACGCTGGGTTCCTTTTGGTTTCCAGTTCCAAGAATCGCATGAGGACGACTTGGACTTGGCAGAAGAAGGTACGGACGACGGGAATGACGAGTAGTAGAAACACAAAGTGGCCAACAGAGCGTAAGACAATAAAGGGGCAGGAAGGATGACGAGAAGGAGGATCAGGACGAGGTGGAGAGAGGCGTGAAGCAACAGGAGGATTAACAAACTACATATAAACAAATGTTCGGAGGTCCGGGCGGATTTCTTTCGTCGGCGCTGGAGCCCCGAGGAGGCGCGCTCTGCGCGCCAGGGAACGGGTTCCAGCGCAATCGAAGATACCCTTGCGGACCTCTGAGCATGTATGTTTAGTTGTGCTACTTGTTTTAAAGAAGCAGGAGAGCCAGGGCGTTTTGTCTTTTGGTGAATAGTGGGCGATCGTCATCACCTAAGCACAGTGAGCCTGGCATGCAAGCGGTCTGCAAACGAAGTTGTTGCCAAACGTGCACGCAATCGCAGATTCATGGTGTGGCGCGTGCGGGGCGTATGAGCGGCCAGCCTGGATGATCTAGGATGATCTAGCACGCTGTTGTTGCTCTTCAGCGGTGGCACCATCGCCTGCAATTGGTAACGCGCCACCGATATCCCACAACTCTCATTAGCTTGCTACACTCATCTTCAATTACGCGTGATTGGGTGTCGCTATATCAGGAAAGTTTGCCGCTGATGTTTGGAATTGGTGACAGTCATTGCTTTATCATGCCGTAGCGCAGTATTTTGCGATGCAGCATTTGCGCCGCAGCGGGTTTACAATCGACAACTCTACGTTACACGATGGTGCTATTAAGAGATATAGGCGAGGGCGCCAGTGGGTGAGACACACGAGGGAAGGTCAGAACATATCCCAGCCAAGAAAGGGAAGTGGCCAGATGTGGAACAGAGCAGCTGTTACATGGACGTCGGCGCAGAAGTTGAACGAGCAGGAATGCTGATGGACCGACGTGAAACGGAGACCCCCCCTACCAGGAAATCGATTTCGGTCTCGGGTTCGTGACGTGCGTGCCGTGCGTGCGTGCGGGCGAGGCGAAGCTGCGTAGGCGGGCGAGAGGAGATCCTCCTGTGGCTGGGCCGCGGCCGGACCAAATGTTTCTCCTCCGGTGTCCCGCCGGTGTCCCGCGGCGGCCGGTGGCGCGCGGTGTCCCGCCGGTGTCCCGCTGGTGTCCCGAAATCCTCCTGTGGCTGGGCCGCGGAGGAGTTTGCCCATTGCTGCCCATTGCCCATTGCTGCACCCCCTTCTCCCCTCAACCTCCTTGTCACCCTCAGGGTGGTCGTATAGGTATGTATAGATTCCCACTGGTTCCAGTCCGGGTCATCATTGATCATCTGGACGAGCCTTTACTTTCAATGAGTTGGTTCGCAGGCCGAGCGCAGCGACCGCGGCGCGACGTGGTGGCACAAAGAGGCGAAGCAGAGGGAGACTGCGCAGCAGGCACGAGCTGGATTCCTGCTTGCAGCGTCGCCGCTTCGGTCGAACAGCATTCTCGAACAATTACCTGGGTCACCCTGAGGGGCGCGAAGATGACCGCGCTTTGTGCGTCGCAGCCGGGGCCGCCGATTTGGCATTCTGCAGGCGGCGGTGCAAGGGCGCGGAGATGACCACGAGCCGCGCATCGCGGGGCGCGGGGTGCCAAGTTCGACGACCTAAGGAATCGCGTCTGGCTATTCGACTTGTGACCGTCGTCGGGGTACTGTCAGCCGCAGATATGATCCCTGATGGGGCTGCCCGCTTCCGCCGCAAGGGTGCCCGCGCGGTGCCAGCTCGGAGTGTTCCTGGAGCATTCCCGCATGCCCGCTCGAGGATGGCATCCCCCCTCCCCCTCCACTCCTGGCCACTCCTTGGCGGCACGCACAGGGGGGTGGCGCGGGTGGGGCGGCCTTCTAAGAAGGCGGGGGGCTTCTTAAGTAGGAGCAGGGGCCTTCCAGAGGCTCTCCTGGCTTCTAATGAAGCCTTCTTGGGAGCATCCGGGCCAATCTATGAAGGCCGCTGCCTTCTACGAAGCTCCTCGCCTTCTTAGAGAGCGATCCCCCTCGCGCATCTTTTGTGTGTGTCCAATTTCCCCATCTGTGCTATTCGGGTGCTGGCTGGGGTAATTGTGAGTTGAGGCGAAGTGAAAGGGAGATACGGTAGCATGCCTCAAGTGTTCTCGGCACTCTGGCGCTTTCCCAAAGCCCTCCTTCAGAGGGCCTGAGTTCCGAAAGGAGCTTTTGGCGCCCCTCGTCCTCCATCCTCCCTTCTCCCCCAAACAAGCGGCTCTCCTGACGATCTGCTGTTTTCAATCCCGGCGCAGTTTCCTCGGATTTGTCTTGGTGGCCGTTTCCAGCCCCCGGGGCAAACACACATGGATCCGGGATTGTTGCAATTGACAGGGGTCGCGTGGGCCCAGGACTGGAAGACATCGTACCAGAGCGTTCTGAAACGCTGTCAGAGCGTTCTGGAACGCTCTGGAACGGCCGCGGGGCCCGGTACCTGATCCAGAACCGCTGGATCTCAGAGATCCCCGATGCAGGCCAGTCTGATTTCGTCCCGGTCATGTAAGGGGTCGAGATTTTTGTGACCGCGGATTGAAAAGGACACCTCGTCGGACGTGTGGGCTCTGCACGCGGATGCCAGCTCTCCGGCGCGGCGGTCAATGATTTGGTTGGCTTCGTTTGACGGGGCATTCCCTCAGGAGGAGGAGGAGGAGGACGACGAGGAGGAGATGGGACGAGGAGTAGTAAGGGGAGAGGAGGGAAAAGGAGGTTCGGCTCGGTCCTCCTCGAAGGCGCGAGTCACAGCTCACATCAACTGGGCGGGTGCCACTCCCAAGGGGAGCGACAGCCGAGGTTAGCTCCGAAGGGCCACAAGCTGGCCTCAGAACGTGTGCATGAAACGTGCACAACATATGGCAGACATGAGGCCATGCTGAAAGCTCGGCTGAACCTAGATCTCCCTGCTCCTCCCGCACACCATCACGCGCACGGCCAGCTGGTCGTACACGGCGTGCATGGCCCACGAATGTGGGCGCGGGCGCGGCGGGGACGGGAAGAAACAAACCGAGAGGGGAAAAGGAGAGGCCAGGCGAAGGACACTGTGCAGAAACCAGATCTTCGTTATTTCCCCCCGCCAGGCCCAGACAAGCGTGACGCACGAGAAGGATTACTAGCCGACCGCTCTGCGGTTGATCGGGAGTTTCTGTATATAGAGAAGGGGCGTGCGCCTGTGTTCGAAGACGAAGATGAGAATGAGCGGGCGGCGGTGGTGCGGTGGGTGACGATCAGGAGGATGAGGATCAGGGGTGCGAGGCTCACGAGCTGGAGGTCCCTGGAGGTCATCCGTCCTCCTCCTCCTCCACATTCTCGCTCGCTCTCTGCTCCTCCTCCTCCTTCTCCTCCAAAGCTGCCATTTCGCCCACCGAGCAATTCAGGCAGCTCTCTCCAGATCCGCTTCCAACCCCACAGCTCACGAGGAGTCATGTGGTCGCAATGAGTGCGCTGGTCTGTTTGGTGGCGAGATCAACCGCGTGCTTATCCCTCGGGCAATTCATCCCGTTGTCGTGCTGCCAGGACAGACTGGTGGAGATCGCAGGGGAGTGCAACAACTTCGACGTGACAACCTTCACGGAGAATCAGAGACGCAGGCATGTGATAGAGGGGACAGCAGAGGCAGCAGACTACGTAGAAGCAGAAACAACTCCGAAAAAACTACAACGGGGAGCAGGCCAACAGGTCCGACTACTAGCTGAGAAGAATAACATGACCATCACGAACACGCGAGGAACCTGGAGGCCGAACTTCTTCGGGGACGGAGGCGTCTCGAGCATAGATTACATCTCGGCACCCTGGAGATTGTGTTCAAGCTGGAGATCGAGAGGCCCGCCGATGAGACTGTGCAGCAGACTACAAGAGATCCCGAGCGGGACACAAAAGGACAATCTACCAGGCCAGGCTGTATTTCATCTACGAACGGGATTGGAAAGTGGACGAGAACTGCGCCCACGTAGAAGGGACAAAGATGCGCCGACGAAGAAGGTCACCCGCAACATCGGATTCGTTCAGCAGCTCAACCATACCATCGCGGCACCCACGATGAAGACGCACGACAAGGACATAGACGAGTACCTCACAGAGCTGAAAAATAATGAAGGAGACATCGCACAGACAAGCTGCAGAGTATGGAGTACGAGGCACAGTATGTGCTGCACTACGTGAGGATCGAGCGAAGTTACTGACACAACGAAGTGACCTACGAGAGGCATCGCATGATACAGTACGAGACACACAATTATCATATGACCAAGTAACAACACGAGTGCTGGAATAACTATGGCAAACATGGGGACAGAGGGTTCAGGCACCAGTGGGATTTTTATCCAGACTCATAGCAAGACGCAGACATGGACCACGAAAAAGAGATTCCTGGGCAGCTACTACCTCACAACCGAGGATACAGGTGTGGACCGTTTTTCGGAGCCGACCTGGTAGTGAAGGGGGGGCGCTAGGGGAGAATATTGCCCCACGGGCGTCACCTGCCTGGAGTGCTTCGGTAGGCGTAAGACCGAGGAGAAAGTACTGGAACACAATTCGCACGAACTTGGGTACATATCAAGGAGATTCCAGAGGACCAAGTTCGAGCAGACGAATTTTGCTTCGATATGCCCGATCTGCAACCATTTCGATCAACAAGAGGACCGTGCCCGTCTACGCCCGCACACGCAACGACCGAGGACAAGCCGAAATCACGGGCACGTTCGACACGGCACCGACGCGGTCAGGGTCGAAAGAGGGAGCCGAGGCCCAACCGAAAAGACGGGACAACAAGAAGGGATGCCAGGACGAAGAGAGCAGGAACCGTTTGCGGCAGTTGACGAAGGACTTGATCGTGACCAACGACACCACCGGGCTGAAGCCGACCGTGGTCGAAACGTGGGAGGTGGACGCGGACTCGCTGCTGACCGCCGCGGGCTGGTCACAGGGGGCGAACTGCAACAAGGGCGCGCAGGCCCTCAAGACGAAGGCCGAGACCGACGACAACGTGGACCTCGGCTACCTGGGGCGGCGGCACTTCGTCGCACACAGCAAGGCGATGAAGAAGCTAGGCCAGGACACGACGGGCGAGGCGCAGAAGGCGCAGGAGCAGCACTGCAAGAAAGTGGCGAATCAGCCAGACATCGAGAGGCTCCGACGCCGCGATCAGGGCCAAGAAGAATAAGGACAGGATTGCGCAAGGGAAGGAGAGAGCTCGGGACCAACACATGACCCACCCCGAGTGCTTGCAGATCAGGAACACCCCCGTGAAGGAGCGGATGGCGCAGGAGGCCAATAGGCAGCACGGGGCTGCGCCGAGGGGGGGCTGCGAGAGGGGCATAGGACGCAGGGTGAAGTGACGGTAGAGATGGGCGGAGTAGAAATTTTGCCAGGCGGCGCAGCCCCCCCCCCTTACTTTTTTTTTCTTGAAACAAGCGCCACTTGCCGAGTTATGGCGGCCTCGGACAGGCCCCAGTTTCCCAGTCCTCGCCCGAACGCTGTACCTGAACTGCATTTTCCGTGCCCTTCCCTGCATCAGTACTTAATTCACCGCCCACCCCGAGCCGAAGCCCGAAGGGAGGGGGGCGGACGGGGGGCTGACAAGGGCAATGGCCGAGGGAGAAGGACAGGTGGCCGCGAGACAGTCGGAACAGATGCCGCGCCGCCTGGAGCCCCCCGCGCGGGGGCGAAGTGCGGTTGGGCCCGTTCGTTTTGATGGCGACTGCAGGCCCTCTAGCGAAGTGAAGGATTGCAATGCAATCTCAGCCAGATTCCGATTGCGACTAGGGAACGAAGTGGGGGCCCAGTGTAGTCGGCTAAGCGAGGATCCGAGGCTGGTCAAGGTCAAGGTCCTCCTCCTCCTCGTCCTCCTCCCCTCTCTTCCCGTTCCCCTCCTCCCTCCTCCGTCCTCCTGCGTCTTAGCCGCCGTCGCGGCTCGAGGAATTTGTGGGTGCTGTGCCGGGCGCGGCGAGATTCTTCGCGCGGGGCGGCCGCCATGCGCGCTCGCCCGCTCGGCAGCAGGGCCAGCCGCGCAGCGAGTCTACCGCGGCTCGCAGCGAGGACCAAGCGCGGCATCGAAGGCTACGCAGAGAGAGGAGCCGTGCGAGAACACTCTTCCAGGTGGCAGCGGCAGCTGACTTGCTCCAGCAACAACGCAGTCGGCAGCCAGATCGCCAGATGACGAAAGGTCGTTCCCGAGGTGAATGCAGGGGGCGTTTTGATCGCGAGCAGCATGGCGATTGCATAATTTTATGCCCCCCCGACTTGCAGAACAGTGGCTTTTTCCGTGATTGCTAGTGGGTCACGCACTGCCACTTGGACGCGCAGCGGTTAGGGCCCCCGCCCTCCTGAAAAGGATGGATGCAATCACGCGTGTGCTTTGCAAAGCAAAGGACCTCAGCAAAAACGTGTCCCTTGCCCTTCGCCGTGATCATGGCGCGCAACGTGGACTTGACCGAGCGCTGTATCGCCGCGTCAAGACGTGGCCAAAGCCGGGCAATATGGGAGAATTGGCAGCGCACAGTGCTGCATCTTCTTTCGGCCAGATCATGAAATAATTCCCCGCCTTGGAAGAGAGTCGCGAAGTACAAGCACCCATGGGGGTGTCCTGCATGTGCGCATCATAATGCATGGACGGCGCAGGTGTGCATCAAGTGCCATCACAGACACGTGAAAGGCGAGAACGTTCAGCATCCCGCCCGCGCGGCCAACGCCGTGCCGCTGCCTCGCAGCCGCCGCAGAGAGCCGCTGGTGCAGCCATCAAGCACATGGAAGGCAGTCCAGATGATTAGCTGCCAATCGTGCCAGCATCTCCAGAGTTTGCACAATCGCACAGGCGATGGCGAGATCCTCCACAGGACCCACAGCAGCTTGGGGGTTTTTGAAAAGCAGTGGCAGCCACCATGGAATCCATCGAGCGCCAACTGCACTGTGCAGCAGCGCTCAACCTCGACGAAGAGCAGGTGGGCCGCATGCAAGAAGAATACAGCGCGCTGTTGCATCAGCTGATGCATTCCAGGTCCCCCCCAAGCCAGGATCACGAAGCAGCGCGTGGTTGTCGGCCGCTGCAAGAAGCGCCTCGTGGACGCTCAGGCCAAGCTACACTTGCTGCAGGAGCAGCTAGAGACAGCCGGCACGCAGCGCCAGGTGCTCACGGACGAGCTGGCACAAGCAGAGCAGCTACTGGAACACTTTGAAGATTTGGAACACGATCGACCGATTGCTGATAACATAGCAGTTCCTGATGACGACGACGATGAACTCATGCTGGATGCATCGCTCACTCAGACGAGCTTTCGCCTTGGACAGCGAGGAACGGCAGGCAGGTCTTCGTGGCCGCCAGCCAGTGCCCCACCGACCATCGCCATGCAGCCCAGGGCAGCGACAGCGCCACCCGCGTCAGCTACCTCAGCAGCAGCCTCAGGCCCAGCTGTCCAAACAGCAACAGATGGAGGTCAGGAGCCACTGCGCAGGCACCACCTGGGGGGGCCCCAGCTGCTGCAGTGAGTCATGATGTCAGTATGCCAGCCCTGCTTGCAGCGACCCAGCTGTCCAACGCCCAGATGTTGCATAACATGTCTTCGTTCCAGCGCGCGGCGGCAGCTCTCCAGGCGGAGATCGCCAACATCAGGACCGAGAGGAAATCCGACATGGAGACCGTCGCAGCCGCCGCGATAGAAACGGCCAAGCATGCAGTGGCCATGCAGACACCCAAGAAGGACTCGGAAAAGCCCGCGCCCGTGGAGATCCAGTAGGCCAGTCGCGCGAAGATGGAGGCCGCTCTGCAGGGGCGTCGGGCCACAATATCAGTTCCCCCCAGACGGCGCACCGTGAGTGGGCAAGCGGGGGCCGAGGTACTCCGAGCAGATCGAGATGGAGGGGGGCTTTGAAAGCAGCCGCAGTCGAAGTGGCCGCCCGAGAGGCAGCAGGCGAGGCGGCAGCCCGCGCGGCTGCTGATGAAGATGAGCAGGCATCTTTGCAGTCACTCACAGGAGATGCAAAGGCTCACGCGAGCTCGCCAGCCAACGCATCGCTTGCCAGCCCAGTTTTTCGCTAAAAGGCCGCGTCAGAAGCGTCTCGGCCTCTGAAGTTGCAATCTCCCATCCATCCAGGCTTTTCCTCTCGCTTGCATGCCTCTTCCCCAGTAGTTCAGGAAAACCATTGCGCTCCCTGCCGAGAGCGTCATGTCAGAGATCAGGTGACCATCTCAGTGCAAGGTCTACCTCTCTCTCCCATTCCGCAGTACTTGGATGCCGTCTCTCTCTCTCTCTCTCTCTCTCTCTCTCTCTCTCTCTCTCTCTCTCTCTCTTTCTCTCTCTCTTGGAACGGAGCAGGCCCGTGCAGCTTTCGACCGATATCCTGAGTTGGGTTCCAGTGCTGGCACTCATCTGCCATCCATGCCTTCGCCAATCTCATGCCCTTCCCATGGACGTACCCATTGAGGGCATTCCGGTTTTGACCGACGCCACTTCAGGAGGGTTGCAGTACGACGGTAACAGATGTCAACCAGCATGGGCTTCTTGCGTGCCTGCGTTCGCTGCCATGGGGGGTTCTCTTCTAGGACATCTTGCAGGGCCACTAGAGGCCGGGGCGCCTCGGACACTTGCGCGCCTCTACGTGCAGAGCTCGAGGCGGCCATTGGGGTCAGCGCCTGGCTGTTGCAAGCGCCTGCGAATTTGCGAAGAGCTTCCGTCAGCTTTCAAGCGGACAGCATGGGCGCACTTAGAATATACAGAGGAGGATACGTGCTGGGAACCCATTGGTCTGTCAAGCGCCTCCTGGACGGCCTCGCCCAGGCCATGCGCACGCGCGCGCATTGTCGCATTCGAGCACGTGCATGGACATGCGGCGCG